GTGGGGTCAGCCTGCCGCTCGGCCCGCCGGCAACGCTTGGGGCACGCAGTCGCTCAACGACGCGCTGCCCAAGACGCAGCCGCGCCCTTAAGTCCACAGTCTTAGTTCAAAACGCACGTGTAAGATTTTGTTTGCATCATCATTTTGTGTTTTGCGATCTTGAAACGGCACCAGCATGTACGCCCTTCTAGCGCTGGCCGCGCTCGTCCACGTCTGCGCGGGCGCGATAACCGGCATTAGCGTGGATCTGCACAGCACCAGCGCCGGCACTGTCACACTGGCTGACGTGGCACTCACAACGTCAATGGCGATCCCGATCGGCGGAAAGCTCCAAGTAGCATTTCCAACCGGCTTTGTCCTTGCGCCGACCGCGCTCTCGGACGGCGTTGGCATCGACGGTGCGAGCGCCGTCTCAAAAGCTGGCACGACGCTCATCGTGACCGTCGCGACGTCGGTTGTTGCGGCTGGCGTCGTCACCTTTACCGTCGATGGCATCACCAACCCTGGTACCCCGCGCATGCTATTTCTCACTTATACATGACGTAGGTGCCTCGACGCTCGCCGCCTTTACGATTACCAGCTTGAACGCAGTGTCGGTGGTGCTCGAGTCTGGCAGCGGCGGCGGTGGCGCCGTCATAGCAGTCGGCGCCCCGCTCGTTGCCACGGTGACGCTGGCCAACACGACCGCGAGTGTCACATCCCTTTGCACGCTTTCGATCACAACGTTCCTGACGCTTCCGATCGGCGCCAGCTTCCGCGTAGTGTTTCCGTCACGCTTTGCGGTCGCACCCACACAGCTGACGTTCCAGACAGGATTTGCGGCCACGACAACCGCGCTCACTTCGACGTCGTCGTCGGTTCGATATAGCCTCTCCATGTCTTTTCAGCTATATCGTAAACTAGGCAACCGTCACGATTGGCGCCTTTGCGTTGGCGCCAGGAACGTACGGCTTTACGCTTAATGGCATCACCAACCCGGGTTCGTCCTGCAACATGTACTACATGGAGGCTTGCTTGGTGACGTGGGAGCCGTACACGGTCTCGACACTCGATGCGGCGCAGAACGTCTATGAGACTGCGTCGGTGCCTGGTACATCGATCATCAAGTCGCACTTGTATTTTGGCCGCGTCCGGACGCTCGCAACGACGCCGTCGACGGCGACGTCGGCCACGATTCTTTTCAATACGCTGCTGCGGATCCCAAGTGGTGGCATGGTCCTCGTAACCTTTCCGGATGGGTACGCGATTCCGAATCCTGGCTGGACGCTTTCGGGGTGGATTGGCCTCAGCGCGGCGAGCGCGGCGTCCATTACGGGCTTGACGCTGACGATCACGAGTGCGACAACCATCGCCCCGATGCGCGGCATCCAATTTACGCTCTCGGGCGTCACGACGCCCCCGCTCAACACGGTGGGCACGTACCAAATCGCGACCCAAGACAGCAATGGCAACGTCATTGAAGATGCAGACAACATCGGCGGTGTCGGCTGCTACTTCCTCAAGGAATGTAGCGGACATGGCGACTGCACGCTCATGAGCTCCAAGTGCATTTGCAACGCGGGGTGGGGGGCCCCGACAGATATCTCGATCGGCGCGGCCCCCGACTGCTCGCGACGTACTTTCTCATCGTGCACCGTTTCGGTGGTGTTGACAGGTATCGCGTAGGAACGTGTCCGTCGGGGCTCGCTTGGAACGACGTCCCGACGGCGCCAACCGTTGCTCACACAACGCTCGTCGAATGCAGCAACCAAGGCGCGTGTAACCGCACCAGCGGCGCGTGCAACTGCTTTCCCGGCTACACGGGCAGCGCCTGCGACCGCAGTACGTACAAAATACAAAATGTGTAGCGAATGATTCGAGTACTAGTGTCGTGTCCCAACGACTGCTCGGGGCATGGCACCTGCTTGAGTTTGCAAGAAATGGCGATGCTGACGACAGCCGTGCCAGTCGCGAGTGCCACAACGTACTCGGTACGAATCCCATGATGTCCATCAAGTCCAGCGGCTCGCGTAGCTGTGGGATGCGACGCGCATCTACGGCTGCGTCTGCGACTCGTCGTGGCCCGTCGGGCTTGGCGCTGGTCAAACACGCGTGGCCGAGTGGTTTGGAGCCGACTGTTCGATGCGTACGGCAACGTACGAGCCATTTATCAATTGAAATGGCCTTGACTAGGTCACTGCCCGAGTGGCGATGATCCTATGACGGCAGAGGACGAAACCAACTGCGGCGGTGTCGCGGCACCTGGAGGGGCGGTTGGGGCCGTGGGCAACCTCTGCTACAACGAGTGCTCGGGGCGAGGCGTGTGCTACTACCAATCAGGCCAATGTCGGTGCTTTGACGGCTTTGAAGGGCTTGCGTGCAACGCCCAAAATGTCCTCGTCGACGATAGCAACCGCAGCGAGCTTGCCATCGCGCTCGCTGGCTACTGATAAATCTATGATAATGTGTATTCGAGAAGGTGCAGTGCATGGAACTTATTGGCCGACGCAAATCCCGCATCGCTGGCTCGAACGGCGATCGAAAAGACAATGTGTGTGCTCGTCATCATGGTTTTGAATTCATTGTCCGATAGCGGTATCTCGCATCATCGCGCTGCTGGCGTCGACGCATTCAGATAGGAGGTGGACTACCCTGCGCACGCTAGCGATTACAACATGGACGAGGTTCTTGCGCGTCTACACGTCAGCGTCCAGTGACTTGGCAGGGAGCTGCATGAGCATGCCATTGCTCGGTGGTTGAAGTCAAATCCTGTGATCGGATTGGCTGGTTGACGTTGCTTATGAGACATGGTTTACCTTTATAAAAGAATAACCTTTGTAAAAAGGTATGTGCATGAACCAAGTGATGCAGTACATTCAGCTCAGAGCCTTTCATTATTTATACCCCTGTATATTGCCACGTTTCCCACACCATATCTCACATTTCACGCATACTACACTAAAACGTGTCCTCCAGCACCTTCTGGCCCACGACACGACGGAAGCCACAAGCAGCTCCATCGACGCCGAGCTACCGCCCGCACCCAAGCGCCAGCAAAGCACGCTACAGTAGGAACAGTCTCAGAAAAACATTCATGTATGCAACAAGTGTCGAGTAAAGCAAAGAGCCCCGCCATACTTAAGTTCAAAATCCATTTCAACATCTCATTTTTTACTTACCAAGTCGCATCTGTAACTTCATTAGGCCGCGCGTTTCCGAATCTTACTACTCAGCTGCGCTGCGGTGGGTCGCAGTACCGGGTCCGTCTGGAGACACTGCAGTGCGATCTCGTGCACCCACGACGGCACGCCCACGGCCGCAAATGTCGGCTGCAGCAAGCCTTGCGCCACTTGTGTCATCACGAA